CCAAATATACGGTTGGATAGCAGAAGCTCTGAGTTTTCTAACGGTACCAACCGTTTGTGTTCATCGCATACTAATCAAAAGTTATTCAAGAAATGGCCATCCTTTTTCTTTTTTGAAATGGATAATACTTATTGATGATATTTTTCGATTGTGTACAAAAAAATTATTTGTGAACTTGCTCTAACTACTATCTATTTACATTTACGTTTTGCCGGTATTTGGTTGTAGTCACCAAATGGCAATATTTTATTTGGTGGTATCTATTGTCAGTGAAAAAAAAGATCTAAAAGTTAAAAATCAAAAAAAAAGTGTGATACTTTACTTTGATGTATCTAAATATTTTTTTGTAGCTTCTCAGTCTATCTTCATCAATTCAAAAAATACGATACATTTAATTGTGTTCGTTAGAAATGAAAGCGTAAAATCTCTGCATTTGACATGACGTAAAATTCTCTCAACTTATCAACAGTAAACGTGTCCACAAGTGTTGTACATTATTTATTCGAATAGGAATCGAACATTTTTTCATTTGTTCTGTTTCTAGAGGCATCATTCAATTGGTCGTCATAGGGAAAACGAAATGGTTGATGCCACACAAACATGTAAATAAATAAATAAACGTAAATACGATCACACATCGTTCAAAAACATATTTATTTCCGTTTGAAGAATGGAATCTTTTTTCTTCTTGTCAAAACTATATATTTTTCGTCCAAGATTTTTTGCTCCATCATTACTTTCCTAGTTGAACGTTTGATTCCTGCTGAGCACTGTTTCTAAAGAGGATTTTTTGCTGGGATGTACACACACTCACACACACACACACACGACATATATTGATTTAAAAAAAGGTCAACGCTTTGTTGTGCTTCAGTAAAAAAATATAATTTAACTCTCTCATTTGACTGTACACGATTGACACGTCAAAGTGGGCACTGAAAAGAACTTTTTATTGGAATAGGACACAACAGAGACTGAAATTTTTTTCTGTCAAGGATCTAGAAAATATTTTTGAAAAAAAGGTGGGTTTTTGACGATATTTTGGTGGTATTTGGGTTTTTTTCTGGAGAGAAACGGGACTAAAGGTGCGGGACCGTGATCGGAAAACAGCGGGCCTGCCCATATCTAGTTCAATATTCATGTCTATATGATAACGTACCATTCAAGTCGAAAATGACTCATCATCAGCTGTACACTTTGTTTGTTTTTTCAAAGTATATTTAGCGACAACAAAATGTATGTACACTTTGTCATTTGAAACGCTGCTACTGAGGACTCATTTTTGTTCTGTATATATTCTACTCCATAAAGTACACATTTGCATTTGCTTTTAATTCCTTATAGTTGAACGTAATATTCGTTTTATTTATTTCATTTACTTTTACTCATTACTACATTTATGACTCTTATTACAGATAAGGAGTGTCCGTGTGTGGCAAAGAAAAAAATCGTTTGCGATAAGAAATATCATGGTAGCTTCTGGTATAACGAGCAAAAAGTCTTATACAGCACAAGATGTTCTTGTTGATTTCTTGCTTGGAGGAACAGGTAAGGAAAATAGAAATTATTCAATATAATTCAATAAAATTACTTATTATTTTAACTTACGTTAGCTGGTGGTATTAGTAAAACAGTTGTAGCACCGCTGGAACGTGTTAAACTGTTACTACAAACACAAGATGTCAATCAAAAAGCGTTAGAAAAAGGAAAATATAAGGGTTTCGGTGACTGTTTTGTTCGATGTGTAAAAGAAGAAGGTAAGTAGAGAATTTTAATTAAAAAAAGCATTGTGTAGTATTGTTTGATTTTAAGGCCCATTATCATTGTGGAGAGGCAATTGGGCCAATGTTATCCGATACTTTCCAACACAAGCATTAAATTTTGCTTTTAAAGAAACGTATCAAAAGATGTTTGCCGATTATAATCCAAAAACAGATCCATACAAATTTTTTGTAGGAAATTTGTTTGCTGGAGGTAAATATCCAGAGATGATATCAATTTTTGTTTTTTCAATCAAAAAAAACCAAACACTTCATATTCACTATATTCTAGGTTTGGCTGGAGCAACTGGACTTTTATTTGTCTATCCATTAGATTTTGCTCGTACTCGTCTTGGTGTTGATATTGGAAAATCTGTACATGACCGACAATTTAAAGGAATGAATGATTGTCTCGTCAAAATATACAAAGCCGATGGCATACGAGGTTTAAAAATACTCTACTTGTTTTCATTTAGTTTCTAATTTCATATTATATTATTTATTTTATTTAGGACTTTATCGTGGATTTGCAATTTCGGTTGCTGGTATTTTTGTTTATCGTGCATTCTATTTTGGAGGATATGATGCAGGAAAAAAATTTATGTTTGGTGATAATCCAAATCCAAATATTTTATATCGCTTTATGTTTGCACAAGTTATTACATCATCATCAGAATTTTTAGCTTATCCTTTAGATACAATAAGAAGGTAAGCAATTTTATCTTTTTTCTGTACGTCGAAGTATATACATTAGATATTTTCACTCTTGTTAGACGATTAATGATGCAAAGTGGTCGCGGTGATGTAATCTATACAGGAACAATCGACTGTGCGACCAAAATTCTACGAAATGAAGGATCATTAGCATTTTTCAAAGGAAATTTATCGAATATGTATCGTAGCGTTGGTAGTTCATTAGTATTAGTATTGTATGATGAATTTAAACGATGGTTTACACAATTTACTACTAAATAAAGCAATAGCATTCATAACGTGTTATCCATTATTTTTTGTCCTCTGCTGTTTCTGTCAACACCAACGTATTTAACAAACTAAATTAGTTTATTTGATAAAAACTTTTGTTTGTACCTATTTTTTTCTCTTGTTTCATTGAAGTTTTGATACCTTCACCTTCCCCTTTAGAATATTTTTGAAAACAATTTACCTTGCTGAACAATGTGTACTAGTGATGTTTTTTCGATTTCTGTCACTTTATCTATTTCTATTTGTAGTACGTAGCTAAACGCACGAATAATATATAATTTTTCCTTCTCGATCAACGTTTATAAGACTTTGTAAATTAGAAATAGAATGATTCGTGACGCATAGTAAAAGTGAACGTTTTCTTTTTTAAGCTACATGTCAGCTGAATGGTGCACTATGTTGTCGCTTTGCCAAAGATATTTCTATGCTGAATTTTTTGTGTGCGGTTTTCTTTTGCAAAAAATAAACATAAATTAATTAAAAAATGTTTTTTAAGAAAGAGAATAGAATATAATAACTGAAATCTTGTTGGAAAATAATTTTTTCGCATTGTATAAGATTAACCTCGCAGATTTGTTTCTATAATCCACACAATAATGAATTCATTTGATTTTGACTGAAAATTTACTTTTGATGTTGCTTAGTCATCTTAATACCGATATATCAGACAATAGCGGAGTATGATCCTTTGTTTTTTATTCATTAGAAACTATGATCCCGTCGCATTATAGAAAGCAATTCCTTTTAATTGACGTTGTTCTCTGTTCACATTAGATTCTATCTTTGTCATTGGTTTTTTGCTAATGCGCAAATCCGATTTGTGTTTGTAGTCTGCTCAAGATAATGTGATTCTATAATATTTATTGTCAAAGATAATCTTGAAGATGTGACATGATGGGCTTTCAGCGTGGTTGTTGCTAATACATACATCTTCGTGAATAAAAAGACTATTTTAGCACAAGAAAACGTTCAATAGTTGAAATTCAGATGATTATTTCATTCAAAATTCTTCATTCATTTTAAGTAGAATAGGGTCTTAAAAATATAATTCTTCATTCATTTATGATATACGTAAATTAAATAAATAAAACTTTTGAAAGAAAAGAAATAGTACACCGAGATCATTCAATATTAAATCTTCATTTCCTTCTTTCCAGCTCCCATTCACGTAGGAAATTGCGATTTTTATCAAAAATATCGATTTTTAGACAAGAACGAGTGCATATATAAAAGAATTCTTCCAAAAAAGTTTTGACGGAAAATAAAAAATGTGGCTTCATTAGCATGATCTTAATTTAAAACCAATTCTCAATCATTTAATACAACAGAGAAACCTATTTAGCGTTAAATGCTCCAATTTGACCCATATATAAGCGGTATCTCGTGAGCACGTATTGTAGAAAATTTTATCACATATGTACTTCCGTAAAACGAATATGCGTTGAAAGTTTCGCTTAAATCGGACTGATAGTTCCTGAGATTTGTTTCTGATCTGGCGGAGGAGGCCTAATATAATTTATTACTTTTTACAACGGAGAATAATTTTAGTCTCAAATGGCGTTTCATATTGCTCGCCAAATAAAAGGGTCCAACAAAGGAATCCATAAATTTTATCCATAAATCTCTACTATTAACACGAAAGGAGAGGCCGCATAAGGTTGATAATCGGCCACTTCATTTTTTGTTTAAAACCGATTCTGTAAATCGTAGAAAAGTGTTATCAGTCAGTGATGGTAGAAATTTATTTATTAAAAATAAACTGTGTACAAGCCTGATGACAGAAGTCTTTTGCCTAAGAAAATAATTACAAACGAGATTAAAAACTAAATTAGTATAAGCTTCATAGGCGTAACTACGGGGGAGGCCAGTGGGCCATGGCCCAACACGATCTGAGCACTGGCCCAATACCAAATTGTTTTTGAATGTTCTGCCCAAAGCTTTTCCTTCACCTACCAATCGTGAATAAAGTTTGTGACATGAAAGCAAAATAATGTGCTACCAATCCAAAGATATAGCATGATTTTTGTTTCACTTCTTTTTGGCATCGTTGGATACAGCTCACCGACTTAGATAGGAAAAGGCCAATTTTTCCTTTTCTTAAGATTTTTCAACGTCATTTTTGCAAGAAAAGATTGAAAAATATTGGCTTTTTGAACTG